GGGAGGCAGATCAATTGGCCTGGGTTTATCATCCAGCTTCTTGATAGGATTCTAACTGGCACCAAAACTCATGACATACCCTATGGTTTCATTCTCACAGTTGTACTTGCACACTTCAAATTACCCATCAAGAAATGGGAAGTTGGTACAAACAAGAATCACTTTGGGGCAAACACTTTGACTGCTTGTGACTATGAAGTCCACACCACTCCTAAAGAACCTGGTTCATCCAAAAAGGTACTTGTGAATAGCAAAGTGCGAGCCTTGGTGCAAGAAAGTGGGGCTAAGGATATTGAAATTGAAAGGCTGAAAAAAAGGTTGGCAGAAGTAGAAACTGAGAGAGATGCTCTTAGAGCTGAGCTTGCAAAGGAAAGGGAGAAGAATGATGGAATTCTTCATGATATGTTGAAACTGCTTCAAGCCAAGAACCAAGAACCTGGTCCTTCCCAGCCTTAAAATCTTCCTAGCCTAGTTAGACAAACCAGTGACCTGGATGGAATTTCTTTTTGATCTTTTTGCTCATGATCCAGTGTTTGTATTTTTCTTTATGCTGTGTGGATGACTAGTATCAATGATAATCAACTATTTTTGTGCTCTAACTATTTGTTGATGCTTCTTAGTTGACTAATATCATTAGATTGATAAATGATGTTTGACTCCATTATTGCATTTGAAGTAGCCTCAGTGGCCATGCGTAATTTCTATTAAAATTTGGTTATCTAACATAATTATGCAACTTTTCAATGATGCCAAAAAAGGAGAAGATATGTTGCTTCTTACTTTAGACTGTGATGTTTATAACCTAATGAACCTGGTCCTCGATGATTTGTGAATTTAAAATGAAAAGTGTTCTAACATTGTGTTGATGTTGAGCTGAGTTGACATAGGGCCTATGCTTATAAAAAGCACAGAGTTTGTCATCATCAAAAAGGGAAAATTTATTGTCCCAAGTAAAATTTGTTTTGATGATTAACAAAAGAACTCAGGCGTGAACCAGGTCCATACACAGTGTACACAGACACGGGCAGATTCGAGCATAAGGGATGCACGTGGAGGAGATAAGCTTAAGTTGTTATATTTGATATCTCCTTATCGAAAAGGTTGCATAAATGATAAGGAGAAGGACTCCTTACTCGAAGAGAACTTTATCCAAGATAAGGAAGGAGTTAGAAGTTGAAGATAACTAGAACTCTTCCACCTTGGAAGAGTATAGCATTAGAACTCTAGTTAATTCCTACTCTACTAACTCTATAAATTACAGGATGTTCTTATTCTACATGTACGCACAAAAGCTGAAGTTAAACGTGAGCTGAGAGGAAAATAGCAAGGCATTTTGCAAGCAATTCTTGTGTGATTCAAGTGTGCGAATCTGAAGCTACATGAACCAGATAGAAGAACCAGTTCCAAGTGTATGTCTTTTATTCTAGTTCAATTGTAGTAAGGCTTTTCAAATTGTACCTTTCAACTTTTAGAGGCAATTGTATTAGGTACTTTGAGTATTCAAGTTAGAGTTAACTTGAAGTTGTCACAACAGTTAGAGACTAGTTGCCACAACGGGATTAGAGGTAATCCTTAGGTTTACAAAAAAATTTGTAAATGTTGTTTTGGCTCAGTGATTTAGTGAAGTGTTAGGAAAAATCCTACTGAGTAGTAGGTCGTGATTTTTTCACTTTTTGAGCCGGGTATTTTTCACGTAAAAATAATTGTGTTCTTTACTTTTCGCATTTTTTATTTCCACAACAGTAGCATAAGGAACACATAGAAGAACCAGTTCCTTCTATAATCACTGCTCGCGAAAATTGGACACCACACAAATTATCCCCCCCCCCCCTGTGTGGCATTGAAGTATAAAGCATCAATGATGTTTGAGAAAAACCTTATCCAATGTTCTGTAGCAAGAAAGTTGATGTTTACGACCATGGTGTTTGTGCTAGCTTATGCATACCTCGACTAATTTCACGGACGAACACTATAAATTCACAATATGTCTCGTACTGAAAGCTATAGTCTACATAAAATTAAACAAGTGTTATTATCCCCTAGCAAAAACCATGACTCACCAGCCATGGAAATTAATTAGCAGTTTTGTGATCCTCATATATGATGAATAACCAGATCTCAATTGCAATACAATATTTTAGAATATATCAAAAGCAATTTAGTAGGAACAATGAAATTAATCATATTGCTAAATTCAGATTTTCTTTCGGGAATAAATATTTCCAGCATCTGTTCTGCAATTAGCACATCTTTAGATTAAAACAAACCCCTTGCAGAAATCTTCAGATCGCAATTTCATATGGGAGAAATTATAAGGTAATAATAGTACCAAGCCAACTACAATATGACCAAAAGGTTTCATCACTTGTAACAAGTACCCCCAAAAAAAAAGAATAAAGCGAAACGAAATACTTCATCCTGTCCAAAATAAGTGTCATTTAATATTTAAAAATTACTGAATTACTTTTTATATCTTCTCAAATTATACTTTATCTCTCCTCAGAGTTTTCAAATCATTTAATTTTGGAGTACTAAGGAGAGATTTGGGGGAAAAAATAATGCTTTCTTGATGTCCTAAAGTGACACTTATTTTGAACTTGAAGAAGGAATTGTAAGTTTAACAAGGCGATGAACATGGCTCAAAGAGTACTACTCAAACATGGCTCCGCCGAGATATATTGAATAATAGTATCAGGTAAACATCTACTTTTCGGCTCATTATAAACAATTAAGCTGAAGAAATTAAAGGAATGACTAAAATATCCCAATTTGTTAAAAATAGTCTTTGTAGTGAATTATAAATGACAGCATCTACATGTAGTCTTCTTTCATGCATGAAAATGGGGTGTCAGTAAATAATATAATTAGTGATGTTTTTTGACTTAATGATCGTGTTTTTGAATTGCTTACAACTATTGATCAACCACCTAACCTTAAACATGGACAAAAGTGTGTTCATGTTTCATAATTCCACTAGCTAGTAAATTGATGCCCACATAGTCAACTAATTGGATTAATTATATTTGCTCTATCGGTGATTAATTTCACACATATCCCTGAAATTTTGATCACATCTTGATTTATCTATTATTTTACACGGTGTTAAACATGGCAGATCATCCGCTCTTGCTTAAAGTGCTTGATAAACTTCGCTTTATGCAGAGTCGAATTCAAGATTTTAACTTTATGGATTATAAATGTTAAAACGACTTCAAGTGCTAACTATATATATATATATATATATATATATATATATATATATATATATATTGATTTTCGGTTATACACTTAATATTCCTGAAATTGTAGTTCAATCAGTTAAAGCATTGCCCGGTCAAGACGGAAGCTGTGGATTAGAGGCTCGTCAATCTCTGATTCAATAAATATATCATTTCATCTCTATTTCATTCATTCTTGACCATAAAATATTAGTATAATAGAAAGGGTGTTGTTATTCAAGTCCGTCAGATAAAAATGGAATATTTGCTTTATTTTTCGTCAGGGGAGTGGGGATCGTGACATCGTGTTGGAAGTTGCTTTGTTTATTTTTTTCAAATAATGCAATAAAACAAGAAACAGGCCGCAACCGCAGCATGATCTAATTTCAACTGTTTGTTTTAGAAAGCCATAATTTAGGAGGACAATCTGCATATTTAGAAGACGATATGATCCTTTTGTTTGTTATATATACATAGTGGTTACGAAGAGGAAAAGAAAATTCATATACATATTTTCAGGAAATTTTTTTTTTCTCTTAGTAAAAATATGTTATCCTGTCTTATATCAAGGTACTTATAAAATTTTATTTTAGTTATCGGTTGACTATTTTTAAACAATTATTTTACTTAAAAGTCAGCATGTTACTGTTTACAGCGTACGGGAGTGATAATAAACATGAAAAGGAAGGTAAATAACCCATTACTTACTAGAATCTTACATAAATTTCTCAAATAAATCCCAAACTTATCAACGTCTAGCTATTAATCAATCATACACTTATCAAAACTAGTCAGATACACATAAAAATTGAAAACCCAAATAAATAAGTTTTTTTCTCTCCAAAAATCACACGCAAAGATCTCCTTCCATATTTTTAAGCGTGATTAGCAACATTATATGCAAGACGAAAAGGAAATTTCATGGATGAGGTAGCAAATAAGGTGATGAAATACAATATATAAATACAATATATATATATATATATATATATATAGATTCTAAAAATCTAAGCAAAAAATGACCTTTTTTCAATGGGTATGGTTAAAATTCATTGAAAACATATAGATGAGTCAATATACAAATTTTAAGGAAGATTGGAGGTGATTTGGACTGATTTGGTATCAAAATTTGTAGTTAAAATCGAGTACAAAAAATTCTTCTGCGACACATGTATCAAGCATGTATCTTACACACAGGTATACATGGATATACATGTGATACACATTTGATATAAATATGATACATATGTGATACACAAATGATACACATCATTGTTTTTCATGTTCATCTTTTATTTCGAATTTTCAATTCAAACCACCTCAAAACTCCACCAAATCATCCCAAAACTGAGATTCAAGCTCCTTAAGATTTACTCAATCTATTTTAATACACCGACTCAAAAGAAAGCAAAAATTTGACATGTTTTGGCTACAAATAGCTAATTGACTAATATTAGTAATATTTGGTTAATAAATCAAAGTTTTGACCAAAAGAAAAGGAATGCATATAAGAAAAAGATTTAAGTTTATAAAGAGCTTTTACACTATCACATGGTTTTATTAGTTGTAACGTATAATTTATAGAATATTGGAGATTTAACTTTATGATCCATTATAAATGTTATTTTAGTTATATGAAAACTACCGAAGCATAATATGAATAGTTATGCAAAATTTGAAACATCTGAAAATTTGCTATTTTAATGGAGTAACTATTTTTCATAAAAAATAGAAGTGCATTAAGATTACAATTTAAGAGAGAGCATCCGACATAAATACATATTGGTCAACCAATTCAACTAAATAGCAGGAAATGTTGTTAACATAGTATTTCATTTTCCATACAAGAGAAAAAGATAAGAACTCAACAACAACATACTCGGTATAATCCCACATAGTGGGGTCTGCGGAGGATAGTGTGTACACAGACCTTATCCCTACCTTGTGGAGATAGAGAGGTTGTTTGCAATAGACTCTCGGCTGAGGAAAGCCTAAGCACAACACTAATGAAAAGAAAAACGGCAAGAAATAACAGTAAGAAGATAATAACTCACATCGGATAATTAATACAAGAAATCATGAGTTAACTGATTCTAAGATACAGAAGGTACTCTACTATTCTCTCTTCCAGATGGAAAATGCAGCGCGCTATAGAAGAGGTCTGTGCTTCCCATACAAACTTACTATACATCGACGCCTTAAGCAGTGGAAGTCAGTTTAAAAATCACTTAGGATCTAACTTTAGCAAGACGCGCCCTTAGTTCTTCTAAGTCTTCCTCGTCATCAGCACCCTGCAAGAAATAACAAACCAATGGTCAATCAATTTAGTTCGGTTGATCACTACAATACGTCACAAGATGAGAGGACATACCTCTGCCTCCTCCACTGCCTGCGCGGGTTGCTTTAACTTTTGCTTTCGGACTGCTTCAGGAAGTTGTGCAGTAGTCTCACCAGCAATTGCAGTCAAAACCTTGTCAACTTCTTCTTCAATCTCGTCTTCTATGTCTTCTGAATCCAGGGCGCTGTCCACTGCATCATTTACCATTTCCTCCATCACACCAGCCTGCAATACCAAGAGATCGGGTAATTTCTAGTTAAAAAGAAAATGTGCGTGTGTGCGCGCACGCGTGTTGTGTGTGTGAGAGAGAGAGAAGCTTCTTGCGGGGGAGGCAGGCAATAGGACAGTCTATCATATAGAGATCAGCTTTCGTTTTTCTTCCACAGACAACTGTGCAACGTGTGAGCGTGAGTTGCATTCAATTTGGCATACAACCAATCACTGAAAGGAAAATAAGAGTCATGCTTTGGCAACTTCTATGATCTTCTACTTGCCCTCTAATGTTTTATTCAGCACAAAGAAGATTTTAGTATAAATTCAATATTTTCATGGGTAGAACTGACTATCTTCAACATATTTATGGAACGAACTATTGGATACTCATGCATCTGAGATCTTAAATAACCCAAAATGGCCGGAAAGGCCTACAAGTAATATCAACAAGCTCGTCTAACTGTTCGGAGAGTATTCTCATTCATGTTAACAATAATTCATACAATATCCCAATCCACACAAGAAACACCTAGTTTCTCCATGGAACTCCTAAAGAATAAGCGCACATGCTCTGTGAATTATGAAGGAATTCATAGTCATATACTATGTTAAATGAAACCATCAAAAGCCAGGTGCATCCACATCAATCTCACACGATCTAGGTGTGGGAAAGGAATAACGTACATAATTTGGCTGACTTCATGCTCACGCTGGGTTTTTTGGTTTTGATTTTCAGTTTTTATAAAAATTATATATATATATTCACATAAAGTGTTCGAAAACTTTGCTATTGTATGAGATATACTTATGGAATTAATATTAGGCATTTAAAAGGAACTTAATTATACTTGTTTTGGTTCAAAGACTTTTATTTAATAACTGAAATATAAACACACAACATACATATATACTCCATCCATTTCAAACAGAATGAAGAGGCTGAAAACGAAGGTCTCAAGCCTTCTCATTTACGGTCTCAATTGGAACTATTTCTTTCATTTTCTAAAGTAATATTTTCGTATTTAGAAGGGTGTAGGGGCAAGCCCATTATCAACCGAGTTTTGAACCGTGCACCTCTAGTCCTCCGGGATTTCTTAGTTAACAAAAAAATTAATATTTTCATATCTAATACTCCACTACATCAACAAGTACTATAAGTCATAATTCTTTAATTAATTAAAAACATTTAAGATAAGTTTGAAATAATTGTAGTAAAAGATTGTTTGATTCTCCAAATAGTAATGACATCAGATAAAATGAAGCAGAGAGAGTATATGATAAATATTCTATAATGTAAAAAATTAGTCGTATCTTAGCACCCGTACCTTTAACTCTAACATATCCCTGAATTCTAAGATTTATGTGATGACAAATCTGACTCCTAGATTTGTATCCTTATTTTATACCCACACCCTTGTCCATGTAACACAGGTCATATGCTGTTAATTTGCACGAGGAACAAGGAAATAAAACTTGACATGTGATATCTAAATATATATCCCCATTTAAGAAAGACAATTATAATCTAAAACACAAATTTGTGATCAAGTTACACAAGATTTTCAAAAACTAGTATAAGCATATTTACACATAAAGAAGCTGAAAATAATCGAAGGGGTACACTTGATGAGAGTATAAAATCTGACACCTAGAAATAGACTCACTAGAAAACTTCCTTAAGAAGTAATGGATTCCATATAGTATGAACACACAAAAAAATACAGCCAATAGCAAACAGAGAAACAATGATTCTGTTATGTTATCTAGCATACAGCAATATTTAAGAATTGGAATCAAACTGGTTTAAAGGCGATTCGCAACCAGGAGAAAAGATCAAGAATATCATTGAAGCTCAAAATGATAAAGCCAAATAGATATATACCTTGGTCATTTCTTTACTAAATTCCTGCATTGTCATAGCCACTTCTGGAGCCTTCATAAGATTATTGACGAGCTTCATGACTTCAGCACTCTTAGACAAATGTCCCACTGTNTAAATGTCCCACTGTTCGAGCGATAGCTGCAAAACCAATTACAAGTCAATGGGACACTGGAGAAGCCAACACATAAACTAATAAGTATAAATCAAGAGGGTTGGTTTCAATTTGTCGTCCAACCAGCAACAGTATATGGTTGTCTAGCTACAGACATTCTAATAGGTGCTACTTTCCTAGCTGCTGCTAACAACCTAAATATAGAATACAATCGATTTTGCCAAAACGACATCAAGATATTTTATTTTATCCAGTTATTCTGTGAAAATGAAAGTCCAATAGGTGCAACTTTCCTAGGTGCTGCCTCTATTTCATAGAATCATTTGAAAAGGCAGAATTCTATTATCAGTTTAGCCATAATAGCATCCAGTTGTCCAGCAAAAAATGAAATATTCATCTGTTGTTACAGAAAATCAAAAGGACAAAAAACCTAAGCAATCCTACTTCTTCTATTCATCTATATAAATAACAAACTACACACACTATGCCTCTTCAAACTCCATACATTACATTATATTAACCCCCCNCCTGACAGCTTGCTCGTCAAGAAGAACTTAGAGGACCAAATGCACACTCCTGAATATAAAAGGGGGATAGACATATATACAAAAAGTGAAGCAAGACTATGATCATACCGACACTTTCTCCAAGGTGCATTGATATTGAATTCAACTGCGCCTTATTCTCGTACAATCGGTTCACAGTTCTTTTAGATCTCACAATTTCTTTCGCAAGTGACTGCGGTAAATACATCAACAGTCCGATATGAATAAGCAATAAGATACAAAAAACACCAAAATATGCCTCATAACCATATACAATATCAGTCTGAATTCAAGATATGCTCTTACCGTAAAAAAGAAAAAGAAATCATGGATAAGCACTAAACCAACTACTTAAATAGGCGTTCCTAAAAGTCTGGAAAAAAGCATAGTGGTTTGTCACATAAGCTGCCTAAGAAAGCTCCTAATGACACAAGACAAAGCACTTATCAACCACGTAGAAATCTTTCGATGATCCAAAACAAAATTTAAGAGAAGCTTCTTCTCTTTCTCATTTCGCCAACATTTAAAAGTATTGGAAAGAAAAATTACTCTTCATCTACTGATCTGAAATAACAAATTTTCAAACATATAATTAAGTTTATTTACTATTTCTTAGTTTACCAATGTTATAGACCTAGATTATTTCTCAGTTTACCAATTACCAACATATTTTCCAAAGTATCAACCTTTTTCTTTTTGATAGAGTAAGGTTCTAAAATGACAAAATTTAAAGAGCTTAATTTCAACTATTTCTCAGTCTATAATGCTACAGTCCTCAAATAAACATCAGCTTAGAAAAAATAGCAGTCATAACCAGCAAATAATTATGTGAATTTTTTTTTTTTTGTTTTAAATTAGAGAGTTCAAGTGAGAGCAGTAAATCACCTTGGCAGAACCCATATCATTTCTCTTTGCAGCTTCTTTAATTGCTTTCTGCACATTCTTCTCCTCTCTTTGTATATCTGATCAAAAGCGCCAAAAATCCACAAACCCAAGATAAAAAAATCGAAATTTACAATCACCCAAAAAAACCCCTTTTCCTTCTTGACTATGAAAAATTAAACAGAATGTGAGGGGGAAAAGAAAAACTTTTACCTCGGATTTGACGTTCAATATTCCGGCATTCTTGTCGGAGCCTACGTTGCCAATCCCTTAAAAGCTGTTGAGGGTTCGGTTTTGGCTTCAATATATTCATTACTTTCTCCATTTTTTTCTTTTGTGAAAACCCCTTCAAATCAAAAGGCTGCAAGGATTGATGAAGCTGAATAGATATTCTGATCAAACAAAGAACTTTTCTTTATCGCGAATTTGTTCTTCTGAATAGATATTGTGATCAAAGAATAATCTTTAAAATGGTCAAATATACCCTCAATTTTAGTATATTATTCGCATTTATCCTCTCGTATATTATCCAAACATATCTATTCTACCGTTTGTCAAACTTTTTAGAAATACCCTATTAAAAAAATATTTATTTATTTTTAAAACTCATTAATAACCCGTTAAATCATTTTTATTTACTGTACTTTTTCCTCACATATTAGTCATCTCTTTCGTAGTCACTTGTTGAATTCAAGAAGTTAAAAGACATAAAAATATCGATAACCATATATTCATTTATACATTGAGTCCCAATTTTTTTAATATTCTAATTGTGTGTTTATTATATTCTACCTTTTCTAATTTTTATTTTTTTCTTCTAACTTCTGACAAGAGTGGGTTGCTCTAGTGGTGAGCACCCTCCACTTCCAACCAAGAAGTTGTGAGTTTGAGTCACCCCAAGAGCAAGGTGGGGAGTTCTTGGAGGGAGGGAGACGAGGGTATATCGAAAACAACCTCTCTACCTCAGGATAGGGGTAAGGTCTGCGTACACACTACCCTCCCCAAACTCCACTATTGGGATTATACTGGGTTGTTGTTGTTATTGTTGTTGTTTCTTCTAGCTTCTCTCTTTATTTTTTTTCACCATGTTGAACAGTACCGAGTATTCATCATTTTCTTTCCACCGTGACTTGAATGTTTATAGCATCTTATTAGTTTGGTAGTTGAAGTCTTAAGGTAGTTACCGAAATATTTCTTCCTCCAACTGTGAGCCTTTGTTGATGAGTATTCACGCACCAGGAATTTCTTATTATGCTTTAAGTATTTGGGCAACAAGTAATTATTTCCAAATCACCCCTTAAGTACCAAAGTTAGATTCCAAGATATAAGATGGGATACTCATAATTCTTAGTAACAACTAAACTTATAATGAATAAAAATTAAAACATAATTAGAGGAGATTCAATTTAATATCAAGCTACAGTGCGAGGAATCCATCAAGAATGAAAGAAAGTACACCAACAAGTTGGAAAGCAACTTAACAACCTAAGTATACTAACTTAATGTATTAACCAAACACAAGTACTATTAAAGTATATATATCAGTTGTTACCAACATATAAACCAACTGTTAAGTGTGAATTACATTAGACAAAGGGATACCATATTATAATCACACACAAAAAACAACCAAAAGTGATAACACGACGTCATAATGCCACCATGAATAACTAATAACCAAAAATATAAGTTCTTACTAATCCTACTTCCACCATCATTCTCGGTCTCTCTCTAAATGAATAAAATGTGTTAAGATGTCTCAGAAATCTAGGTTCTGTATTTTTAAATGATGGGTTTAACGGGTTTGGGTTAATGATTTTTTTTAAATGATTATTTTATTAATTTGGTGGCTTTCCGTTAGGTGAAAGGTATTTTAAAATAGTTTGGCTAGCGGTAAGGGTAAATATGGTTTCATAGTATAACAAGGGTAGATATGAACAATATACTAAAGTAGAGGGTATATTTGGCCCTTTTCCCTTTCAGTTATTTAAGAGGTCGTTTGGACATACGAAAATTTTCACTTTTTTTCAAAAATAAATTATTTTTTTCGAAATCAGTGTTTGACCATGAAATTTTTTAAATTTTCACTTGAAGATGAATTTCAGATTTTTTCGAAAATTTTAAAAACTCCAAAAGATTGTTTTCCAAAAATTTTACTTCAAATCACTCATAAAAATTCAAAAACAGCCAAAAATTGTATTCATGTCCAAACACAACTCTAACTTTCAAATATCATTTTCATTAAAATTTATAAGTAATTCTTATGTCCAAACGCCCGCTTAGATTCGCTGAATAAAAAGTGGACAAAAAAAAGTGATTGCCTTTAACCCAATAGATAGAAGGCTGTAGCGGTGGAGGAAGGCAAAGTTAGTCGTGTGATGAGAGGTCTCGCTTGGATCTCACGCGTGGGTTTCAACTTTTTCTTTTTTCTATAGGCCAAATACATAAATATCCTTAAAGTTGTCACCAACTTTCAATTTAATATCATAATTAAGGTTTATATTCATTAGACACTTCAATACGATTTAGGATGTGTTTGGTATAACGAAAAATATTTTTAGTAGGAAATATTTTTCGAGAAAATATTTTCTTGAAAAATAAGTAATAATCTTATTCATTTTTCGGTGTTTAGTACACAAATTAAGAAGAATAACTTCTCAAGAGTATTCATAAATAATTTAAATACAATAAACATGAAGTCATAAACTTTCGAACCAACAAATTTTCGAACCCACAAATTTCATAAACTTCCGAACCGTTAAACTTTCGAACACGTGAAATTTCGAACCCGTAAACTTCCAAACACATAAACCTCCGAACTCATAACTTTGGAAGTTGTAAAATTTCGAACCTGTAAACCGAAAGATGAAAAAACTAAAACTGAAAATATATATATATAAATTATTATTTTTCCGCGGGGGG